TGTGGGTCCTGCCCCCTCCTGCAGCCTCGGAGCCCCACTTCCTTCTCTCTTGCCCAAGGAGACCTAGGGCCCTGTGAGTGGTGCGGACACATGAGGTCTGAATTCTGTTTCATGAACGTTCCCCTGACACGGTCAGTACATAGGGCGGCACTGTCACCCACCGGGTGTCACAGCCTCATGGGACCCTGTCCCTCCCCTGAGAGAACNAGTCCACCTGAGTTCAAAGGTGGGGTGTCATGTTCGAGGAGCCCCAGCAGATAAAGGAGCGNTTCGAGGAGCCCCAGCAGATAAGGGAGCTGGGGGAGCTCAAGGACCTCAGACATGAGCTCCTCCTGCTGTGCAGAGGGACACAGAGGCCCAGGAGCCCCAGGAGGGGAGCAGCTTATGAAAGGGGGACCCACAGGGACGCTGCCCTCGCCGAGGAGTGTGCTGGGTGGCCCTGCACAAATGCACCTTGAGGGACCGCACATGGGAGCCGAGACTGACAAACCCCGATCCCAGGACTTCCCTGGGGCCCAGAGAGCCCAGGAGGAGCCTCGGTAACGACTCGCCCAGACCTGGAAAGGGAGCCGCCAGCTCTGACTCCAGAAGCACCTGCATCCAGTCTGACCAGCGATCGGGCAGAAAGGCAGCAAAGCCTCTCTCATGAGGTCTCAGGGTCGAGTAGGTGTGAAAAGAGAATCGTTGGGTTTTATGAAAACCCTCCCAGGACTAAGAATCACTGGAGTCTGCAAATTACTAAACATGCAGAGAAAGAGAGAACTGGCCTGGTAGAGACCATGAGTGAGCCGGTGAGTCCACGGACCCAGAACCACAAGATTTTCAGGAAAGGTGCAAATCACGAAATGTGTCACAGGAAACAGTGATCATGAAAATGAAAGTTTGGTGGAAAACCTAGATTCCTAGAAGAAAAGCAAACTAAAAATCAGAATTAATGAAAATTTAAAGGGTTATTGGCCTAAACGACATTAAAGAGAGCGAGGCGAAGATCCTGCAATGTCCTCACTACAACAGGACTGTCTCCAGGACGGATGGGACGTCCCCAAACATAAATGCAAAAACCCTCAACAATGCCCGAGGAACCGTGATAGCACATTGGGAGGATGGTTTCCCTGGTCCAGTCGGGCTCGGTCCCGGAATGCAGGGACGGCTCACCTAGGGAACCAGGAACCGGGCCGCACCTCCTGCCCAGAATGAACCACAAACTGCACCCTCAGGTTCCTGGTACAGAGACAAGAGGTGGGCGCGTAGGTAACCGGGGTACCTGCTGCCTCCCAAACCACATCAAATTACACCTAAAACAGAGCAACCGTCACTCAGAGCCTCCTGAGGTCTAGCTGCACAGAGCCCTGCAACCAGGGGACTGAGAAGGAAGGAGACCAGGAGGAGGCGGAGACGCGGGCAGATCAGGGCTGAGTCACAGACAAGGCCTCGGGCCCAGAACCGGTGCCTTGGTTTAAAACTGGGAGCGATAGCTCGGCGTGGACGTTACCCAGAGGGGCACCGGGTCCCAGCCCCACAACAGGACCCCCGCCCAGGCTTCCAGGGTCGGTAAGAGACGTCCCCAAAACTTCGGGCTGGGAAAACCAAGGGGACTGTCACTGAGTGAGGGGAGGGAGGTCCTCTTAAAGGGCCTGCAGGGGACTCACCCAGACCCGTCCCTCTGAGCCCAGGGCTGGGCAGCAGCCTGAAAGGAGCCTGGGACATTCGGGGAGGAAGTAACTGCCTGAATTCGGGGCCAGAGGAGGACGGGCTGCTTTCTCCCAGGCAGAAGAGCTCAGAGGCCACGGCTCCTTTGGGGAGTCCTCCCCCCACAGTCAGCAGGCAGGAGCCAGGTTTGAATCTCCAGCACCTGGCTCACTCCTTTGGCCCCACCCAGGTGATTCCCTGAGAACCTGCCCCTCCCACCTGCAGGCTCCTCCAGGCCATTTCCAGAGGCTTTTCTATGCAAGTGGCCTCTCTCGCCTCATCCTGGGGACTTTCCTACAATCTCTCAAAGAAGCAGCAGCGTGTTCCATGCACCTTGATAAGTGGCCCCAGGCCTGGCACTAGCAGCAGCCTGCATTGGTTCTTCGCTTGGCCTCAACTGGAAACCTCCAAGCCCAGCACAAGCACCAGCCATCTAGGGACTGCTGTGTAGCTCATGCTGGGTGGCCCTGGNCACAGACAGGCTGACTTTGCACCTCCCGGGAGGACCCAGAGACAGTGCACCTGGTGCTCACACTCGACCATGCTGGATTACAGCCCTACCACATCCACGAGTGACACTCAAGGGGCACACTTGGTGATCACCAAAGCTCCACAAAAGTAATCCTGCTCCCTAGGGGTGTCCCCAGCACAGCAGCTGGTCCTCACAGCCGGTTGGCCATGCGGTCAGTTCCTCCCAGTGACGTCAACAGCAACCAAGGCTCAACTACAGCTGGACAGTGCACACAGCCCACACAAGGGAGCACCTAGAGGGCCCAGCTCAGGGGACTGGGGAGATTGGGCCCCTGGGCCCTACAGGACACCTACTGCACAGAGCCAATCTACCAATTCCAGGAGACACAGCCGCTCTACTTAATACATGGAAACAAACACCCAGAAGCAGCCAAAATGTGGAGGCAAAGAAACATGTCACAAAGGAAAGAACAGAAGTAATCTCCAGAAGAGGAACTAAATGAGATAGAGCCAAGCAAGCCCTGGAGAGAGTTCAGAACAGTGGTTATAAGGATGCTCCGGGACCTCAGTGAGACCATTAAGGAAACTAGTGAGACCATCGGTCACATAATAAAGCACCAGTCAGAAAGGGAGGCCACAGGACTGAGAGGAAGAATAATTTACGGGAATCGGGAGCAGAGCAGAGGACACTGAGAATCCCAACAGCAATTTGGAACATGAGGAACCAGAAACACCACCCAGAGAGCAAGAAGAACAAATCCAGGAACGGGAAGGTAGTGGGAGGGGTCTCAGGGACAACTACAAGGGGTCCTACCTTTGCCTGTAACACTGTGTGAGAGACACAGTGAGAGGAGGTCAGAGTGAGCCAGGCACAAGCCTCGCTGAGGGACTGAGGGGGGCCGGGGTGCAAGAGGTTTGAGAACACCAGGGGGTGCTCAGGAGACAGAGATCAGAGCACCCAGCCCAGCAGCAGGTGCAGGGGAGGTGAAGTCCTGGGTCCCTGTCGACTCAGCAGCGTCCTCTGCTTCTGACATTTGCTCCTCGATCTTGTCCAGAGTCATGGTCGGGACACAGAACAGAAGACTCAGCACCAAACAGCTGGTCAATCTCGCAGAAGGTGACCTGCCTTGGTGGTCATAGTCCCAGCTCCCTGCACACAGTGACAATGCCGTGGGCTCTCTGCGCACCAGGAGGGCCTCCCACCCATAGTGGCTTCAGATGTTGAGTGTGATGATGCCACAGTCACCAGGGCACAAAAGGACCCTGAGTTTCGACATAATCGAGAACTCAGGAGATCCCGACAGGCCCAGCAACCAGGAGCAATGACCTCAGAGATCAGGACAGGGGACGGGATCAGGGTGTGTTGTGTCAGGGAGTGAGGGCTGGTGGGGTCCCTGTGTGGAGCAGGGGCAACCAGAGATGGTTCCCCCTCTGCTCTGTCTCCGTCTGCACAGCCTCCTGACAGCCTTGTCCCCACGGACCACCTGCAACCTCTGGACTTAATTCCCTCCGGTAGCTCTCTCAGGAACCTCCCCTGTGCGTCTCTATCACGCCCTTTTCTATGATCATTTCCATTTTATTATATTTCATGTTAAATTTTCTAGGAGCCTAATCTAATGAAACATACTGACTATATTCTCAAGTAATTAACACTCTAAAGTAGAATTTAATGCATTAATATTCAGACTGAGCCTCAGCCCTAAGCAAGAAAGGCTGCTCTGCCGGGTCGGAGGTTAGGAGGTCAGAGCTCAGTGACCTTAGGTGGTCCATCCAATTTTGCTCTAGTGTCTCCAGTGCCATCTCCAATCATAACTGGGCTTCCTGAGGTCAGGCCCAAGAGAATGGCCCAACTCCTCCCTCCAGGACCTGAGCTGATGAGGATCTGACAGGACACCCACCTGTCACCATGGCCACACCATGGACTCCCCCCCAGCCATTGAAAGGGAAGCCACCTAATTCAGGCCCCGCCTCCCAGGGAGAGGGAGAGGTCACTCCTGACCAGCTTGGACCCTGTTACTCATGGGTGTGCTATTGCTAATGGCAAGTGTCTGTTATAACTACTCCCCAATAGGATGTTGTCTGATTCCTGACATGAGATCCCAGGGGAGGGATTCTAAAGCCAGTGACCAGGGGATTGTTGGGAGACATGAGCTGCACAGTGGTATCAAAAGCATGGGTCCTGTCATCCTGTGTCACTCAGATTCCCCTCACCACTCAGATTTCCTGTGTCACTTGATAGTGGCCCAGAGCCCAACAGAGACTTCAGTTGTACCTCCCAGATCTCAGTGAACCTGACTCACCTTAGCTGACCTAGGACCACCTCACAGGTGATGCACAACCTTCTCCATTGTAGTGAGGACTCTGGGGCCACAGCTGGATACAGCCCTGAAGTGTGGGTAACACTGGAATACAGGGGTTCATTGAGGCTCTCAACACATACAAGGAGTTCTGCTCTCTCACGGGGCAGGTGCATCTGTGTCAGGAGTAGTTTCAGGGGAGCAATGGGAGCCAGTGGGAGGATCAGAGCCTTGAGGCTGTGTCACTGTTACCAGATGTGGTCTCATCAACAAACCCCAAACCTCCTATAATTCTGTATTTAGTGGGTGAAAAGCTACCAGGGCAACCAAATGCCCTAGAAACTTGTCACCTGCACTGAGTTACTGACTTATCTGTAGGTTCACCCCTGAGATCTCTATATAGCAGGAAGACATGCAAATAGGGCCCCTGTGGCCATAAAAACCAGCCAGGCCCCGACCCTGCAGCTCTGGGACAGGAGCCCAGCCCCGGGATCCCCAGCTGTTCTCATTCCCTGATCAGGACTGAACACAGACCACTCACCATGGGGCTTGGGCTCAGCTGGGTTTTCCTTGTTACTATTTTAAGAGGTAATTTATGGGGGACAAGAGACACTGAGTGTGTGAGTGGACATGAGTGAGAGAAACAGTGGACGTATGAGAATTTCCTGACCAGGACGTCTTTGTGTTTGCAGGTGTCCAGGGTGAGGTGCAGCTGGTGGAGTCTGGGGGAGCTGTGGTGAAGCCTGGGGGGTCTCTGAGACTCTCCTGTGCAGCCTCTGGATTCACCTTCAGTAGCTATGCAATGAGCTGGGTCCGCCAGGCTCCAGGGAAGGGGCTGGAGTGGGTCTCATACATTAGTAGTAGTGGTGGAAGCACATACTATGCAGACTCTGTGAAGGGCCGATTCACCATCTCCAGAGACAACGCCAAGAACACGCTGTATCTGCAAATGAACAGCCTGAAATCTGAGGACTCGGCCGTGTATTTCTGTGCGAAAGACACACAGTGAGGGGACGACAGGGTGAGCCCAGACAAAAATCTTGCTGCGGGAGAGTCTACTGCCACCAACTGCACTCAGGGTCCCTGAGCACAAGGACCCTCCAGGAGCAGGTGCAGTGGGAGGTTGGGCTGTTTCCTGGCAGGTTTCCTCTTCAGGTCACAGTTTGACTCAGTAAACTCTGTGGATTCCTGATTCTGTGCTTTCCTCTGTGGTCTGTCATCTAGAAATGTCTGTTGTAAACAGAGACGACTTTCTCACATGGACAATAGGCAGTGTCTTCTTTCAGGGACTCGTTTCCCCAAATGAAATTAATCGTGAAATCCTCTGACCACTGTCACCTAAACCGAACAGGGGGCTCTGCTGACTCCACAGAGCAGCTCAGCCCCTCATAGCTCAGGGTCCCAACTATCCAGGAGCAGGACACGTGGGTTCAGGACAGGGGGCACCGGAGGGGTGTGAACAAAAAGCTAGAGAAGAAAGACCCTGGTGGTGACACTCATTGACCTGTCATCATGGTCACAGCACCAAGACTAGGTGACATCAGGCAGAGGGAGAGGGACCCAGGACAACATGGTGCAAATGTCCAGGTTTAGGACAAACACACACACCAAGGGACAGGATGTTTATCACGTACAGAGTTTAAATCCCTGGGAAGCACAAGGAAGGCCCTTCAGCAAGTCAGAGGGGCTCTCATGGAGCCAGGAGAGGGGACTGGCTCAGGGCTTTGATCTTGGCGAGGTGGTGGGGAGGGAGGAATTCTGCTCCCAGGGGCTGGTGTGCTTTCAACTCCCCAGGACATCTACAGAGGAGACCCCAACTTTCTTATCAGATTCCCAAGTGGGGCAGAAGGAGAAGAGGGAGGAATGAGCCATCAGTTGTCAGCACTCACAGGAGAAGGAAAATAGAGTCTGGCTACAAATTTCATTGAACGATTATAAAAATAAGCAAAAATTGAAATAATGGCCCATTATGTGTGCAGAATACAATGTCTACAGAACATGAGAAAAATGCTAATAAATAAGTAAATGATGATGATGGTGATTATGACGGTGAGGATGCTGATGATGATGATGGTGATGATGGTGATGATGATGATGGTGATGATGATGATGATGGTGATGATGATAATGGTAATGATGGTGATGATGATGATGGTGATGATGGTGATGATGATGAGGACAGTGTTGGACTGAGACACGGTCTCTGGTCCAATAATATTATGACCCGTCCTACAGAACCACAATGACCTTACGTCCTCCTGGGAGGGGTGTCCCTTCTTCGCTCTTTGAGTTGAGAGATTCATAAGTGAGACCCCGATGAATTATGCTCCTGGGTGACCCATAAAGAGACCATGTGAGTAATGACCCCAGAGATATCCAAGTGCTATTCCCTTAGACCTATGGAGTTGTCACCTTGTAGACAGAGACACTGTGAGGATGTGAGTGTAGATAACAGGGAATCTCNTGCTATTCCCTTAGACCTCTGGAGTTGTCACCTTGTAGACAGAGACACTGTGAGGATGTGAGTGTAGATAACAGGGAATCTCATTCCCACCAGTTAGCAATGACCATTCCTTATGTCACTAGGTCCCATCCTGCAGCATCATTAACGTTTTTATTTCTAAGCAGCTCCTGTTCATAATTTTTCAGGGATTTCCTAGGATGAAATAAATTGTCTCCATCCTGCCCTGTGCTTCCTTCTGGGTTGTCACTGGAAGAGGTGCTAAACCCATACGTCCAGCAACACTTTTTCCATGAGAACCAGGCATATTTCTCTTGTGTGATTCAAAACAAGTCCACCATCCTCCCCTCACCCAGTTCTAAAGTCACGTCCAGATTTATGAGTACTTTTCTAGCAGCCTCCACTCTGGTAGGGATGGGTTGCAGGAGGTGCTCAGGACACCAGGGGCGCACTGGAACCACCACTCTATGTTTCATCTTCAGCAGCATCTGCAGGTTGTGTTGACAGCTGATTCCTCTGAGGGCTCATAGCTTCCTCTCCTTAGAACAGTCTCTACAAGAGTCTCTAGCTACCACTGATGGCTCTGCATTTTAACAGTTTTACTATATTAGCAGCAAAGTCTTCACATGAAACACAGGCGACATATCCTGTTTGTAGGAACTAAAATGCAGAGGGCGAGGTCAAGATGATGGAGGAGTAGGTGCATCTTTCTCTTAGCTGCTCCCCAAACCAAGTGGGAATGACCACAGAATGGGGATCAATCACCCTGAATTACCAACTACAGACTCTCTGAAGAGGAGACTTTTAACCAAGAATTGGGAACAGGAGCCACCTCAGGACTGGAAGGAAGTCATGACAGGTTAAAGGGGTTGGCCCTGCTCCCATGGGAGACAGGCTGGGATTTCCAAGGGATATATTAGGACAGAGGTTCCCCCTGAGAGGTCTGGAACCGTGACCCAAAAATATGCCACAGCCCAGCTCACCAGAGCTGAGACTAGGCACCCACATAGCACCCAGCTGTGAAATGCTGTAGGGCTTCCCTCTGCCCATGGACTGAAGGGTCTGGGGTTGAATTCCCAATCAAGGGATTCTACCGGAGTTGCAGTCTGGATCCCAGGTCCAGGTTGTCTGTGGGAGACAACTAATTGTTGTGTCTCTTTCACATGGATGATTCCATCTCTCTCTCTCTCACTTCCACTGTCTCTGAAAAGCAATTGAGAAAATAACTTCAGGTAAGGATTTATAAAAAAGAAAACACTGGAAGGAATAAAAAGTAGGTTGGATGCAGCAGAGGACTTTATCAGGTATTTGAATGAAAAAGTAGAAAAAATGTCCAATCTCAGAAGCAAAAAACATAAACATTATAAAAGAATGAGGTAGTTTAAGGAAACTTTGGGAAACATTAAATAAAACAACATCCACATCATAGGAATACCAGCAGGAGAACACAGAGACCAAGTGATCGAGAACAGATTTGATGAAATAATGACAAGAACTTTCCTAACTAGCTGAAGGGGAAAGACACACAAATCCAGGAAGCACACAGAGTCCCAAAGAAGACGAACCCAAATAGGTTCACACCAGGACACCGCAGAATTACAGTGGCAAAGGTTAAGAACAAGGAGAGGATTTTAAAAGAGGGAAGAGAAAAGCAGTTACTTCCTTACAAGGCAGCTCCCATTGGACTGTCACCACATTTCTCAAGAGAAACATTTCAGGTCAGAAGAGACAGGCAGGAAATATTGAAAGTGATGGAAAGGGCCCCTCGTTGACCAAGCTTCTGTCAGGCCCCTCGGAATCTCTTCCCAACTAGGCTGCAACCTCTGCACATTAAGGTCCAGCTTTGCACAGCCCAATATTAGCAAGAACCCTGTGAGGTTGGTTTGGCTAGAAACCCCCGCACTTAGTATATGATCACCCTCGAGGCCTCATTGGGTTCCCCACCCAGCAACACCCCAGGTGATGGGGAATCACCCTGGCCTGTCTTCAGCAAGAAGCCTGTCAGGAGGATTGACCAGTCCTCTCACCCCTGCTGGTCCCTTAGTACTTTTCCATCCACTGACCCCACCCTGCTCCCCAACCCTGATTCCAACATGTCCTTGTTCTATTCAGAGTTGCCCCCTGTCTCTCCTACAGAAAATCTCCATGGAACATCCCTGAACTCAGGCTGCCTTCTTGTTCATGAGTATCTGTGAGAATGGAGGTTTCCTTCAGCACTCCTCCCACTGAGAGCCTCAGCCGATTATGAAACACATCAGTCCTGCCTGTCCCCTCGGCCCCAGCCCGAGAAATACCCTCCACAGGTTGGCATCTAGGTGATCACTTCAGACCACGTCCACCTGGGAGGTGTGAATCAGTCCCAACCAGAATTCACCTAGATTCTAATGGGGTTTCCTTCTGCCAGGACCAGTCTGGGTGAGAGTGTCGCCTTCCCTCTGGGGAGGCTCAGACCAGCACCTCTCCCCGAGCCCTGGAACTTCTGG